GAAATGCTTCCTGGTTGCTGCGGGAAGTGCCAGGAGGCAAAGATCACAGCCTCTTTCATCTGAAGTCTAGTAGCAAAATCACCTAGATCTGGAGTTAGTATTGCTGGGGTGATTAGCTGCTTTGGCTTGCTGAAGCAGAGATAATATTTTAAAGGACCTACTTATCCGAATTGGAATTTTGACTCTAGCTAATCCTTTTCTTCTGCTGGGAGCTGGCTAAGTATGTCTTTGTGGGATTGTTGGTAATAAGGGCTCCATGTAGTTAGCTGAGCAAAGAGTAGGAAATAGTATGAAAGAGGAAAGAGAACAACTTTGAATCTTCTCAGTGGGCAGTATTAGTCCCATAGGTAGAACTGTGGAATTGCAATCATCAGAAACACCTGCATTAGTGTTACGGGCAAATAATCTAAAATCTTGTGATCTCTTCTTCTTTATCCAAGATAGAACTTCAGGGACAGAGGAGAAATTGTTAGAAGTGTTTCAAACAAATGTAAATTTTCCCAGCAAGAGAACTGTTGCTGGAACATTGTGTCCTGCAGGATGCAGAGTAGTAGGAGTGTGTTGGAAATGAATTTGGCTGCCTTACTCTCTAGGAGCCAAGAAGAGATTTTTGAATTGGCTTTATATTCTTCATGAAGACTTTTCATCGCTTTGAAAGCAGGTTGTCAAATGAGATGAGCCTCTGGCATCCGCTGCCTGGGGAGGAGGATCCATATTTTTAGTAGTCTTCTCAAAAAAGACCCCAATGACATCACAGAGAAGATGCAGAATTTGTGACATGAGCACTTCTCCACTCGTAGTTTTGGCAGAGATGTTAACAGACATTACTATTTGTGGCTAAAATTCTTAAGAAATAAGAATTTTCATTAGTGTTAATATACAAATACTGTAGTAAAACCTCTTTCTTTAGTACTGTAGAACTACAAACCTATACTCAAATTTCAGGATATTTGTTGTACAACAGAAGTTTAAATTTGGAAATGATGGTGAGACTGATATCCATCACAGCGCATTCTCCATCAGTGAGGAATGTTAGCTTTGGCTTGCTGTTGCGTTTGGAGTTCCTTGGAGGTTTTTTTGTATCCCACTTATGTTATTCCTTTTCATTAGTCTGTCTTTCAGCAATAAAAATAGCTTCTTTACCCCCCCACCTCCTAGTTTAAGGAGATCCTAGCAAGATTAAGTCTCTCCCAGCACAAAGACTCTAACATCTTTTGTTATGCGTGTTTATCTTGGATGCCTCACTTGGACCTTATCAGGCTTCATAAAGGATGGTGTGCTAAGGGAAAGATGGCCCTAATCTTTTAGGACCTCACCAAACTTGGATCTCCCAGAGATATTGTTTTCTTCAGGTTTGGAGATCTCGGCAGCTGAGCAAGGCAAGTTCAGACAGACAGTGGAGCCTTCGTGACAGCAAAGGTGTGTATCTTTGGGATATGCTTGTGGCTTGCATAGGGCATGTAGTTGCAGCAGTAAGCAGAACTTAGTGGCACGAAGAGCCCTACTGTGAGGCTGCTGAAATCATGCAAATGCAGCAGAATCCATCCTAACAAGGATGGCCAAAGGGTTCCTGTGACTGAAAATCCAATTAGTTTGAAGCACCAAGCAGTAAGAGGGGCATTCAGCTTGATGAGAGTGAAGAGTGGTTGGAAGAGAAAGTCACTTGCCTTGAAACAACTCTAGAAAGAAGGTATTAGGAAGAAGTACGTAGACTTTAACATTTATATGGGTACCGTAAGCACATACTGCAGCAGAGGATCATGAAGCAAACGAAGACTACAAAAAAAAGTGAAAATATCATGGAGAGTTTTTGTAACCTGTGAAACTTCCTTTTAGGTGACATTGAGAGACAAGATCTTGTAAGACTTAAAAAATTGTGTAGTATGGACATATTGGTCCTTACAGTCTTAAAATGACAACTGCACAGAGAAGCTGGAGTGACTCTTAGAAACCTCCCATTTTCTATTGGCCAGTGTGAATTAGGAAAGACAAGAGAAGTAATTCTTGCAGAGCACGAGTAGCTCAGCTCATGGCAGCTGGGACTTCTGTCACTGAGTGAAGGTGCTGAGATGCAGGGCTGATTTCAGCTGGCTGTGTGCTGCTGGATTTTAGTAGCATAGGAGTATGGATTGGAGAAGAGGAGCTAGGCATGTTCAGGCCTTGCTTTGGAACCGGGTGGGGGATCTAATTCCTAATTAGAGGAGAATCTACGTGGCAGATTGTCAGAGTGGATTACTTCTGGGTGAGGCTGGTCTGTGATGTGAGGTGAAGTTTTCTGAAAGAGGGAATTCCTTCCCAAAGCATCCTTCTGGTCTGAACTAAAACTCATTCTTCATGCTTGGTTCTAAGAAATGGAATTTGCTGATGTGGGGAGCAGCAGAGCTTTTTGATGTCTCATCTGAAATAAACTGCTAATAGCTGTATTGGCAACATGAGAAACACTCTCTTGGAATTTCCACTTTGCTTGTGGTACCAGATAGATTTGAGTTGCACGTGATTAGAGACTGCTTAAATGGTTGTAACTGAAGTATTACTTTCAACTTCAGGTAAGGTTTAAATGGATGATTGTTGTGTGGTTCAGTTTGATTGTGAAAGTGCTGTGCCTCCCCATTATCCTCTCCTGTAACTGAATGTATCGGTCCATTAACTAAAAACGAATGCCTTTCTAGTTTCTTCTTTGTGCTAGGTGCACTTAAAATTTTCCATTGAAGCATTTGAAGATTAGAAGACTAAGCAAAATACAAATACATTCTATAGCTAAATGATTACAGATTAGAACCTTGCAGCTC